TAATATATAGACTTTTTCCATGATATTTTTCCGAAGACAATGCCGAAAACCGCAACTCGATCGGTTCATCAGAAAAAAATTTTCGTATTCTGGGTGATTTTGGTCTAACTTGCCTGGACTATTAGGGCGCTTTGAACACGATAATATGATTAAATAAAATAAAGACCTCTTAGGTACCTTTTTATTTAACTTCGGTTAATTTAATGGCCGTAAAGGTTATTTAAACTAAATCGGACAACCTTCTTTGCCGCTACATCGAAAATCCGCTGAAAATCCGTCGACTGAAAATACCTTGACGCAAAATTTAATTTCGTTGCTCAGCGATGCCCCGAGAGTCGTCTTGTTTTTATTTGGGAATTTAAAAGTCTAATCTTAGTATATAGCGCAGCATTTGCACCGAAACTGATTTTAGGTAATCGTATGCTAAAATGTCCCCTACATGGCAGACGTGCATCTTTTCCTTTTTCGGTCGGGAAGTAATGTAATTGCCTAGGTGATATCTTGTTAGCGTGTTACTAAAATGCTGGTTCTAAATAAAGGCAAATTTTCACTCAATCTACATAATTATGTCACAGTGGCGGAAATACTGGAAGACACCCTTACTAAAAATCCAGGAATTTCGACACCATTCATTGCTTTTAAAATTCTATAAGTTCATTTCATTCACATTTACATTTCAGAGGGAAAATGTCCCTTCCGTTTTACGAGTTTTCCGATGATAATTATTATTTTCATCCAAAATAGGGTACGAGCTTAAAAGAGTACCTACCTACGCACTTAATTTATAACATGAAAAGGGTCTTTAATTTTATATGCAATTACTGTTTCTTAGTTTTCATTTTGAAACATTCGTTCTCTCGTTCTCTCGCACACCATAAGTATTGGATTGTTATATTTATTATATTAATCCAACTTTGCAATGTTTCCATCTAATTCTTTTGTATCCGCAGTATTTGATTTTATTTCGCTCACCATTGTTTTCACTGTCTCCTCTATTTTGCTTCATTTTTCCTTTTTGTTTAATTATTAGTTATGACTGCTACTTACATATCTTCATAATTAATTCTTCACTTATGTGACATTCGGTTTGCACTTGTTGCCTTGTTTTCTAGATCTTAATTATGTAATTTGGTGCAACTCAATTTCCAATATCTCTAAGTTAACAAATTGTTTTTCCAATATTTTATTATTATTATACGCTTCTAATCAATATTAAGATATACAATTGAGCCGTTGGATCTTTGCGTTCACGTCATCGACATACATCAATATAAAACATTATTGATTGATCAATTATTGATCAACGTAAATTAACTAATGACAGAAAACAAGCAATCCCTTCATGTGTTGTGCAACTGATACTAGTTCCGACAGAGTTATTAATTGTCCCTGACAAATGAAAAAGAGACATATTGTCACTTGCTGTACGATAATATGTTGTACATTCAATAATATTCTAGACACAATTTACGCAGTAACTGTAACAGTTAAATTTAAGACAATATTTTATACGTCGACCTGATCATTATTTTCGAAGAAATAATTGACTTTTGTTTTTAGATACGTAAAAAGTCCTTCTTACTTTTCAAAATATCGAAAGCATAATGCAATTATAAAAGAAAACGTGAAAAGTCAATAAAAATTTAATTTTCGGGGTCTGGCGAAGACTTTCACGGACTTTTACTTGCACCCGGTAGCTGCTTTCTAAGTGCCACAATCCATTTGTTAGCTCAACCGAGTGGGCTGCCACGCGGATCACTCTGTCTTTAACAAACGTTCACATGGTCATTTCTTGGTCGAATCCATTCAAAAGAAAATCAGCGTATAAAGAAAGATTTCTACTTTACAATGAGCCCAAGTTTATTACAAAATATTAAACAGAATAGCCAGAATACCGTATTTAAGAAAAAAATATCTCGGTTCCTATTGGTGGGATCGAGACACTTTTTTTTTAATTCATATTTTTTAAGCACTATTTGATGTAATTGAGGCGCTTCTTACAAAAACAGCCATAGTCCAAATTTTACTTTTGTGAGAAATTAAAAAAAACGTTATATCATTGTTACATTACTTCACAACGCAACAAAATTATAATCGAAACCTTTTATATCATGTTCAAGTAATACCTTATTAAAAATGGCATTGTAGAATTTCCGTCAACTTCCTTAAAAAAAATTAAATGACATGTTACGGACATTGGTTGTTTTTGCAGGAAATAAAAAATAACTACAAATAGGAACTGGAAGAATACTTTATAAAAAATAATAAGGCGCCGCTGCTGTTGTCATTGTCGATTTCGATATTATCCTCTTGACTGGGACCAGAACTCGTACCTGGTTGTTCAAAATGTGACTGTATGTTTAGATAGTACTGAACATTTTCAGGGGTTTTCAAACACCTAGCTAGATTTCTTAGGAAACCTAGTTTTTGGGGTTTTATTTGAATTCCCTCTTGATACAAAGGCGTCAGTCAATTCACTGGGCAGTTTCGTTTTATTTCGCAGGTGTATAGTATCCCAGGGCCTCGTGTAAGAATGTTTTGTTTGTATGTAGTTCATATTGGCAGATATTTTAATGATTGTAACTTGTTTTATTTTAATCGGTGGCTTTGGATTTGGCATGAAATATGGCTTTAAGGCTTCAGCTACATTAAAAAACTTTTCCTGCTTGATTTTGACCAAATTAAAAGAAGACGGCTTTTCTCTAGCTGCCAATATTAAGCGATCCCAGTCCGACTGAACTTCTGCCATATTTTTTCTTTTCTTGGCCTCAATCAAACTAAAGTCTTGATCGTTTGGCAATAGAGAATGTCCTCGTATTGAAAAATAGTATATGATGATTTTAAAAACCTTCAAAATGTGAACATTTCTGGCAAAAACAGCTATTGTCCAGGACTATTGTTGTTTTTGTAGAAACTCGAGTGGACTATGGCTGTTTTTGTAGAACTACCGAATCTTTCCTGTACTATAACTATGGACTATGGATCTTTTTGCAGAAACCGAGTTCACCAATCGATAGGGTGTGCTCGAAAACATAAATGTCAATATTAACCGCGAATTTCGAATTTTTGGACTATGGCTGTTTTTGTAAGCAACGCCTCAATTGGTTTAAAATCTGTATATTAAAAAATCGCCGAGATATTTTGCAACTGAAAAATCTGAAATTCACGCAAACGCGAGACAATGTAATTACCTTTCGATCCTTTTTTACTGAATTTCGATATCTTGACATGGGCAGAAGATATTTTTCGACTTTATACAGTGGGCCGCCATTTTAAAATTGGTGGTCCGAACGTCCGACGTCGTGGAAACCAGCCACCCTGGGCACTAGGTACCTCGGAGACCGTTGCCGTGATATTCGTGTTCAGCGACCCCAAAAACCCCCGAGTAGCAAAATTGAACTGATTTCCGTCAATATTTTCCGAGTTATAAATTTTTCATATTTTAACTCTTCGAGATACAATTTTAAAAACGCATTTTTCTTATGCACCGATGCAATTTTCATTTCTGGGTTACAAACTTTCTGGACGCTCTAACGAATCGAATGCAAAAAACCGCATCACGATCCATCTTACTGCACAGATTTCAGAGGTTCAGTGCTTTATTTCCTCGACTATAAGCTAAAACTGAAAAAAGCGCCATTTTTTTCTTTTATTATAAACAATATGATGCTCGACCTCTACAAATACACAAATTTGGGCTTCTATTCTGTGTATTTTTTACTTAATTTTAAGCCCATAAAATTCGAATTTTCTGTGAGTACCTACTGTGGTTGTTTCAGTAAATCGAGGTTAACTTTAGTTTCGATGGATTTTAAACTGTTGTTATGAAGCAAAAAAATCAAAAACATGTTATCATTATACAAATGTGAATCCTCACTACTAAGTTGTATTAGTGTTGTCAATTGTTACTTTTTTAAAAACAATGGAAAACATAATGCTTTTGTATGGTTTAGCGACGTATTATTTTAAAGTCACCATATTTTATTGATATCAATGTGGATGAAGCACCAAATATTAAAAAAACATACAATTTTTTTACATGATTGACATGAATGGTTTCATATAAACAATTATGTTACTATTTTTTAATCAATGTATGTATTTTTTGTGAATCTCAGTGTCAATGAGCTCTCACATTACCCTAGTTTAGCTGAACTATACTACTGTCACTTCGTAAAGCAGATACGGACGGGTTTAGGAAAGTTAAAACAGATAATATTATAAACAACTCTTTTTTCTAAGGTTGTAGTGCTAAATGTGGCTGGAGAAGAGTAGGGTTACTGTGTTCTCCAGCGTGTACTAATTGCAAAGCCAGTCTTGACCAAATGTCCAATTGAATACAACAGATGAAGATTCATGTGATTTCGATGAAGAGACAGCTGATTCATCTTCATTTGAACAATTTATGAACATCCAGCAAGAAGAAGAGGAAGAAAAAAAAAGAAATCGAAGAAGACATGACTGTTGTCAGTCGTCTTTGAATGAATCAGATTAAAATATCAAAAGAAATCAGAACTACAGTTAAAGTCAATAACCAATATCAATATCAATAATCATCATACAGTTAAAAGAGTATTGTCCCAGAAAATTCCGTCATAACAGTTCGTGCAGTAGGCCTACCGGGGAAACCACGTTCAAAAAAACGCGTCAAAGTACACTACTTCACAGGTGGTGTGCATATCATGTAAAACGTGACTCCTTCAACTATTAGAATCGCGATATCTCAGGAATGGTGATTCTTAAAAAGAAAAGTATAAGAAGTGGATCTTATTTGTGGAAGGGCGAAATGGGCGTTGACTATTAGATGCCTTCATTATAGCCATCCTTGTATATCACATGGATTTCTATGGCTTACTTTATCGCTCTCACGTAACTTCTGATAGACCATCGGTACTTTCCTACACTGTAGTGTCCGAACACGTGTCCCCATTTTTAAAACTGTAGTACATTTGGTAGTACAATGGCAAAACTTTCAACACGAACTTATGTAGTATTCTTACCTCTCTGTTCCTCCAAGTAATCGGCATTCCTTTGGTGCCACAGACCTTTCTTACACTCGAACTCGTGTTCTGTCATGATGTAGGTGTCCAGCTCGGCATCATCGATGTCGTCGAATGTGAAATTGACCTCATATGCCGTAGAGGCCTGGAAGGCATTCGATGTGTCTTCTAAGGAGTTCGCCAAACCCATGCTGGCTATATCAGGGCCTAAAACAGGTAATCTGATTATGATTTCAAAATAAAAACAATAATTATTTGTTGAATTAGTATTGTATCTAGAACGGCTGTAGCGCTTCTCTGATTCTTGATTATTTAGCATAACAACAAAGTGTAAGTTCCCAAAGCAAGTAGAATTTTGTTAGAATAAAAAACAAAAATCAGCCTGTATTTATTATAGATATTTTTATGTTTTCATCGATTCATTCATTTTTGTAAATCGAGTTTGCGCGGACATCTTAGATTCAATATCAAAATTTACCTTCCCTTTTAGAGTTGTATTTTTACCTTGTTTTTTTAATAATAAACAAGAATGAGTTTCCCTCTAAATTTTGTTGTACTTAATTAACTGTATTTCTGAAAAAGAATGCTAATAAATAAACTAGTTACTTTGTTAAAAAAAATCATTTTTCGCCTAGTACCACACAACAAATTGTGAACGACTTTAAAATCTATAGATAGAACAGTTGACATTGGCAATAATAAATAGTATCCAGCAGAAAATTTATAACGCACAAGAAAAGAGGAGGCCCAAAGTTAGAGCGTTGAGGAACTCCTAAATTTATTTCAAAAACGTCACAACAGCGATTTTGACATACGGGGTGCTTTAAATTAGTAGGTCAAGCAGTCAACCACATATGCTTTGGACTTTTCTTATGCCATTTTTCATTTCGGAGCCTCAGTTTCAAAATACAGGGTGTCAAAATCATCAAAAAAGTTATCTCGTAAACGAGGCCCCAAATAATAATCTTACAAGGCTGTAAAAATAGAATAAAACGCCTCTTTATCTAAAAAAATATATTCGGAAAGCATAGGCGTTCTCAAAAGAAATAGGGGGTCCATGGGTACTGCAACCCCCGTCCCCTCCTTTCGCGCTTTGATATTTTAAACCAAAATTACACAAACAGTGCCGACTTAAGATCAAAATATGTGCTAAATTTCAAATAAATATCTGCATAATCATCGAAGTTATCAATAAAAATCGTTTTTTAAATTTTAATTTTGACACCCTGTATTTTAAAAATGGGGCTCCGAAATTAAAAGTGACATACTAAAAGTCCCATTATTTAAGTCCAGAGAATATGTGGTTAACGGGTTGACCTACTAATTTGTAACACCATATTTCCTGCTGCCACGAAGGTGTCAACTAAACGACAAGAATAAACTGGTACCGAAAACAAAATAATACAGCTTTTATAATAACACATGGTATACTGTATCAAACGCCTCACAAGATTGGTATAAACCGCGTCCATTTCAAGGATTAGGTACTATTTAAAGTATAGCAACTAGTAATTGTTGATACTTTGTGAATAGCCATGTCACTGAAGTTATACGTAAGATTTAATACAATGAAATATTCTATCATAAAGAACAATTTCAAAGATCTTGCTAGGTGTGACCAGTAGCGAAATAAATTTATTGTTTCTAGTTTTTTTTCTTCCCAGTATCACTCAATTTGGAAATAGAAAATGACCTCAACTTATCAATTTTAGAGCTTCCCGATATTCGATAAAAATATCGATATCGTATCGATTTTCGATACGATATCGATACAATACTCTCTTTGACAATATTTGCAAGAATACGATATTAACTTTTAAAATATTGACAATAATTATTCTATCGTCAATAATGTGTTGTCCATAATATCGAATAATATTGATCTCGCAAAAGCGCGAATCGCACAAAATGAATATATAAACCAATATCTATAAAAAAGAAAATATATATTCGTAAACAAATTCTCGTCGAGTCTTCACGAAAAAAGCAAAAGCACGATGATAATAATGATAAAATGTATTTTAATATACTATTTGTAAAACCAATTTTGTTTCTTTGACGTGGGAAAAAGAGACAATTCAATATTTGGACTCTCCAAGATCAGGAGCAGAAACTGATGATTTAGTATGGTGGAGAAATTTCAATCACGAGTATCCAATATTATCGCGCATGGCACGAGATATTCTGTGTTTGCTCAGAAGAAGGTTTAGTTATAACTAAAAATAGGTATTCTTTAAAGGATGAAATTGCTCAGGCTCTAATTTTAATCAGTATGTGGATGAAAAGTTCCTTGAAAAAAGAAATTTACGAAGTTAATTTGTAGTGGAAATTTTTTTTTGTTCAGTTTAATATTTTAACACTTAAGTTTTTTGTTCTTGTCCATAAAATATTTTATAGATATTTTTACTTTTTTCATATTATATCTTAGCTTGTATGTTCATTCAAATTAAGTAAATAAATTAATATAAATGTTATACTTAAAAAAAAAATCAAATTTAGTGCAATTTTTCTAGTAAAAAAATAAATTTCAACTATTTTATATCAATAAATATTGAATATCGTATCGATATCGTATTGAAATCAATATCGATACGATAATATTACAAAAATAATATTGTCGATATCAATACAAGACGATAAATTCAATCATGATTCAATACGATATCGATAATTTACAAAAATATCGGTATCGTATCGTATCGGGAAGCCCTAATCAATTTGGGCAGATGGTAAACTATCCTGGCTATTTACTTATACTAGTACTTAAAACAAGTAACTATGAAAACGCCACTTTAGATATGTTGTATTTTTAAGGGTGTCTCATGTTTAAAATGACAAGTTTTAATGCGAATATTTACTTTTTAACGTTAATCGTTTGTGATATACAGGGTGTTTTATTTTGAAACCGCTGCATATACCTGGATAAAATTTTATATAAATACAACACTCACTTTGTCCAATCAAAGGTGTAGTATATTATTATTCTTTTTAACGTGAACTTCCATGTTGCCAACACTACCAGGTACTTATATCATCTTCTGACATTTGTTGCCAAATATTAAAAAATGTACAGATGTATAAAATAATATGATAATATTTGACGGCTGCTACAAGTTATTTAAAAAAATATAACACTAAATAAAAAAGAGTGGTTCGTAAGTAATGAGATATCAGTTAATCCTGCTTTCAAAATATTATGATTACTGAACTTGCTTTAGTTCAATAGTTAATATTAAGAGAGTTACAAAGTTTAAGAATTACTATTTTTGTTCTTTGCTTTAAGATAATTTTAGAATCTCAAAATTAACATATAATTGTTTTTTGGAAGGTGAGGCGTTTCAGTGTAAATTTAACATTCAATATTTTACTATGCAAAATTGCTCAAATCGAATCATTAAATAATATTAATCATGTTGATCTTAGAAGGCTGTATTGTTACAATTGTATATCTCAATTGATCAATTTGTGTAATTAAATCTTACAGACGTTTTTTTATTTTGACTCTAAAACTGTATGCCTCTTACTCTTCTCACGCCTCAATTATCAAAATTTCAAAACAACACCGACCGGCGAGGATCTCCGGACAGCTCTAACAAAGTGTAACAGACATTTATAATGATAGACATGAAAGCTATTACCAGGAATTCGAGCTGCGGTTGACCCGCCACGTCCAATTAACCGCTGCGCCATCGCCACTTAATTTTAATCAAATTTTGTAGAAATTCAATGTTTATTCGCAGCAAGTGAGAGAAAAAAATGTCGAAATTTTTCGGGAATCAATTGAAAAGCCCTTTCAATCGACATCGGGAATTAAATCAGGTGTAAATTATTTATAAGAGTTTATTGGAAAAATCGACAATTTTTTTCAAAGGAATTCATTCAGAATCACAATCGTTAATCAGATTACAAATGAAAACGTCTAAATTCATCCAATACTTCGCATTCTCTTTCTTAGGTATTGTATCACAAAAGTCCTCCGACTGACTATACAGGATGACTTGCAAAAGCGTAAAAAAGTAATACGTCCTCCAAGTTAAAGACCACTTTGTTATGTGAAGAGAACTTGGAAATAACGAAGCTAAAAATAGGAGCAGTTGAAAGCAATTTCTCCCACATAACTATTAACTTTTATAGTAATTAAATTTTCAAGTAACAGGGTACCGAGTCCTTAATAGTAATAAATAAATTAAAAAAAATAGTCACTTACTTACGAGTAGTTTCAGGGAGTACCTTTTAGTTTTTTACTCAACATTTCTATTTTCCTCCTTCATAGAATAAGTTACAAAAAATTAGTTCCTCATTTGTAGTTTTGCATGCGTATTACAGGTTGTTTTTTTGTGACTAAAATCAAGGTTCAGTCTCTATTTACAAAATTTTTTAGTCACCAATAAAATAAATGTAATTTAAATTATTATTGATGGAAATTCTTGAACGGTGCGAAACTGTTAAAGACTTAGGGATTTATTTCGACACTGGGCTTATTTTTAATAGTCACATCAACACGATTGTCAATTCAGCATTTCGTACTCTTGGATTTATTATCAGAAATTGCAGAAATTTTCAAGATATATTAGCTCTTAAATGTTTATATTTTAGTCTAGTCCGAACGAAGAGTATGTGTATGTCTTACGATTTTATAATGTAGTGCTTATACATGTATATATGTATTATTTAATTTAATTTTATAAAATTTTAAGTCTTACTTAATGTTTATTGATTTTTTTCTATTGTTTTTATTATTTTGTATTTGAAAATAATGTTTTATCCGTACAAATTATCACTAGACATTTTTTTACAATTGCTCTGTAAATGGATACTTAACTCTGTTGGGCAATAAATGCTATTATTATTATTATTATTATTATTATTATAAATAAAGAAAATAACATTAAACAATTAACTATTTATTAGTATTTATATTAAAATAAAAAATTGCATTGTGAAATTGGATTCTGCTACCGAAACTAACACAAGGGAATTTTCTTTGTGGGATCATTCTATTCATATTTGCTACTATAACTGTAAAAGAAGCAGCCAAAGAGGTATGTCAGCAGTAACTGCAAAACAAGCGGTGGTAGAGGAGGCGTTAGCATTATCGTCATTCAAAATCTTGGAGAGATTTCGAACCTAACCTAATGCATGTTGCGATGTTTTGACGTTTTGACTTTGTTTTGAACACAATTTCTTATAATCACCTATAAATCGAG